TTTATTGAAAAAAAATTCATGCAGTTTAAACCCATATTGTTTAAGGGTCAACTGTAATTCCATATTACTACTATTCTTTTCAGTTTAGATATATAAGTACTTATAATTGTGCTAAAATTGCCCACTGTATTTAGTACAGTAACATGCTGTACAGGTTTGTAGCATAGAAGCAATAGGTTGTAGCATATAGCCTAAGTGTGTAGTAGGGTATACTAACCAGGTTTGTGTAACTACACTTTATTACAATTACAAGATGATAAAATTGCCTAGGGATGCGTTTCTCAGAACATGTCTCTATCATTAAGTGATGCATGGCTGTATTGGGGCCAGGTCTGACTCCAGAGCCATGTGCTCTTAAGCTGTTCACACTCCCTTCAAACTGTGTGCACGGTGGCTCACACCTGTAATCCTAGCACTCTGAGAGGCTGAGGCTAGAGGATTGCTTGAGTTAAGGAGTTAAAGACCAGCCAAAGTGAAACTCTACCTCTACTAAAAATAGAAAAAACCTGAGGCAGGACGATCACTTGGGCCCAGGAGTTTGAGGTTGCTGTGAGCTATGATGATGCCATTGCACTCTACCCAGGGTGACAGAGTAAGACTCTTATCTCAAAACAAACACCCCAAAAACCATCCCAAACAAAACCCCCAACCATATTGCATCACTTTTAATTCCTAGAACTCATTTGTTTTCTTTTACCAGGATGCCTTCACACATACTATTCCTTATGTCTGGAATATCCCCTCACAAATCCCACCTTTGCACGGATAATTTTTATTCATTCATCAAGTCTTTGCTTAAATGTCACTGCATCAGGGAAGCATTCCTTTACTGCCTAAAATTTAAATTTTTATTTGTTTACATCTTTATAGTCTGTCTCCATTCAGTATAATGTGAAATTGTTACCACCAGTCCTCAGTTCTTAGAATGACATTCACCAGGTGCTCAATAAACATATGCGGCATAAATGCATGCATGAATGAATGATGCTGGGGTGGAAATTCCCCAAATTGGAAATTTCACCTATTCAGGCTGATGAGAAACAGAAAGAAGGCAAATATAAATTTGCTCATCCACTGGATATGTATTTATTTAGTAGCTTCCAGGTTCCCACCAATACTCTTGGGAACTCACAGCCCTCCTAGGGGAGACAGATACATAAACGTGTGATTATGGCACAATATAAGTAAAGCACTTGTTATAATTACAGCAGGAATAAAGTACAATAGATGCCGAGATGAAAAAGAGAGAATAAAGTACAATAGATGCAGAGATGAAAAACAGAGAAGCACAATATAAGTAAAGCACTTGTTATAATTACAGCAGGAATAAAGTACAATAGATGCAGAGATGAAAAAGAGAGTATAAGTCGCTCAAGGAGTAGGGCGCCGACCCCATATACCTGAGGTGGTGGATTCAAACCCAGCCCTGGCCAAAAACTGGAAAAAAAAAAAAAGAGAGAGAGAGAGAGAGGTATAAGTCTATGGGAAACCTTCCCAGTAGAGGAAATTCTTGCTTCCTTTTGCAGGATGAACAAATCTTGAAATAGTGTAATTTTAAATTGCACATGAACTTTATGGCCACTCTGTATATCACATACTCCATATATTTCAGTTATGAAAAGGGACAGGATTGGCCATGCAAAGCTGGAGACAAAAAGAAAAATAAAGAAAAAAAGAAAGAAAGAAAGGGAAGAGGAGCAAGCATTAAATATCAGAGCACTTTATATCTCATTTAATTCTCACAATGTCTCTATGTTGTTATTCTCATTTTATAGATGTAGAAATCCAACCTAAGAAAGATCAAGTAACTTGCCCCAAGTTATATAAGACAATAATGAAGAAGTAGAATTTGAGCCTGGGTCTGACCCCAGTACTAATTTACTTA